GGGTCACGTCGTTCCCTGACAGACAGGGACCCTTTGGTCTCTCCTTCATCAGGCTCTGAAATCCCACACCCCGACTGAAGACTCACTCCGAGCTGTGAGGCGCGAGAGGGTCCCGCACTCAGGGCTGTCAGAAGTGAGTTGGGCACCTGGCCCAGTTCTCAGACGATCCTGCTCCACGCAGAGATGGGGACTCACTGCTCAGGCTCCACCCTTCCCTGCAGGCCCAGGATGTCCGGGCGGAGCGGGGGGCTGTGCAGGTGACGGTGGAGTGAGTGGGGGTGACCCCGCGACCCTTGAGGTCAGGAGGGGCCACATCAGAATCAGGCTGAGAATCACTGCTCTAGGGGAAAGTTTTTTCCTTTCTGGAAAAAATGTGTTTGGGAGCAGTCGCCATGGAAGAAGTGGAAGGCAGGAAGTGAAGGAAAGGGGGTCTACTCGGGAAATGGGTGTTGGGGGCTGCGAAGGGAAAGAGAGGCAGGTCCCGAGCCAGCTCGAAGCTCTCCCAAGCCACCTTGGCAGGGCCCCTTGGCAGCTCAGGGGTCTGCGCCGGGCCCTCCAGCTGCAACCCTCGGGGCAGGGCCAGGCCTGAGGCCTCTCCTGGGTTTAAGAGTTACTGAAGTGGCCAGACTGCTGCTGGATTTTTAGTGTAGAGAACTGCTTTTCATAGGAAAGTGGGTTTGTTCCTTAGCCCCTGGGTCCTGGCGAATCCTGTGAAGGACCTGCAAACCAGGCTCAGAGACCTGAAACGCTGCAGTTCACTGTCTCTGTGAGCCGGTGGGTCCAGTTCCCTCCCAGAGGTCACCACTCCCCTTGCTTGTGTCCACGTGTCCTCCCCTCACTGCCCAGTCAAGAGGACAGTACATCCTAGGTACCTGCCCTGCTATCTGCCCAGGGTGCCAACGCCGTGCCCTGTCCTGTGTACGATGACCTCCCGCCCCTGTGCCGTGCTCTGTCCAGTGATGCACTGGTTCCATTGGTTCCATCCCTACGCTGTGTCCTGTCAGGTACATGACGACGACCTCCTGTCCTTACGCTGTACTCTGTCACGTATGCAGTGACCTGGTCCCATCCCTGCACTGTGCCCTGTCCATACGATGATCTGCCCCCGTCCCAATGCACACCTGTCACTGTGTCCCCGGCTGAGCCTGCTGTTCTGTGACCTGTTCCAGGCTCTCTAGGGCTGTCCTCAGCAGCTCCCCCGCCTTCCCTGGGCTCCAGCCACAGCCAAGTGCGCCTGCTGAGATCCCTGCCATCCTGCCTCTGGGATCGAGGGGGCGGCGGGGGGAATCTTGCCTAGCTGGGGGCTTCCTCAATCTCCTGCTACCTATTTTGGCTGGAGACCTTTTCTGCAGGCAGCATTTAAAATGACGGATTAAATGAACTAGCCCGCCTAGTCCCCCGGCCCCATGTCACTCCCAGTGTAAGTACCCGGTATTTTAGCAAAGTTGCGTGCTAATCCGGTTTTTCACCTGAAACTTCTGGAGTGACAAAGCCGTCAGCCCTCCCACCTGCAGATCAGCACTGTTTGGTTTCCTCTGGAGTGTTTCTGCCTGGTGGGAAGGCTGCTCTGCACACTCCTTTCCCCAGACCCGCACTTCCTTTGGGCTGCAGTGAGGCGGGTTTGAAAGAGGATGGGGACTGCCTGGTGACCTGGTATGCCCGGGGGTGGGGCGCCGTGGCTCGTGGGAGGTGGTGCGGGAACGAGTCGGCCCTATCGCGGTGAGGACTCCACTCGCTTCCCATCCTGTGTGCCAGTGTCTGCCCAGAGGCAGCACAGACCCCGAGCTAGCTGCCAGCGGGCTCCCCTGCTCGCGGACAGGCGGGGGCGGTCCGGACTGACAGGACACGCGGGCTGGGCTGCAGAGCCTCCTCGCCCCTGCCCAGGGGAGCACCCTTTGTTGGGGGAACTACAGTTCCCAGAATGCTTCAGGGCCAGCATCCTCTTCCTGCCAAGCTGTTGGCAGCCAGGTGCCAACACTTCCGTCTCTGGGCCGAAAACAACCTTGAGGAACCTTGAAGGTGTCGCAGGCTAGACCTTAGGGATGGGTAAGCCTGCTTTGACTATTTCATCCCCCCAAAAATCAAAATTTAAATATCTTGAAAGACATTTAAATTTTTGTTTTTGCATTTTGGTCGTGGTCTTTGATTCTAAAAAGGCAAAATGAGAAGAAGAGATGGGAACACCTGATTTAGTTTTCAGGTTGAAAGTGTCAAATTGACTAGATCACCTTTTCTCTTGTGCCATTTGACTTTAAATTCCTTTAGTTCTGAAGTGAAGTAGAATGAAACCATAGTAAACACACACTCTCAGGCTGAGTTTGATGACTGACTGCGGACTCAGGGTCGGGGCTTGGCATGCCCACCCCCTGCCAAGGCTCCCGCTAGCTGTGGAGCTGGGCTAGGAGGGGCTGAGGGGGGCAGGGGCCCTCTGGGCTGGGGCCCCCATGGGCCAAGTACTCTGCCACATTGGGCTTGTTCCTGGCCAAAGGCTCCTGTCCTGGCTGCAGGTCCAGAATGATGCGCCTTCTCCCTCCCCTCAGAGTGGCGTGAGTGTTGGCCGTTGGTATCACGCAGTGTGAGCTCTGCAGGCCACACGCACAGACCACACAGATGGGCCACACTCGGCCATACAGTCAGGCTGCACAGACGGGCCACACGGACGGGCCACACGGCTGGCCCTGCTGAGGACAGCTCCCGAGGAAGCAGCTCCCTCTTCCAGCAGGTGTGAGCCTCGCCCTCAGGGAAGTGGCCCCAGGAAGTGCTTTCGCCCCTTCTCCCGCCCCATGTTTTCTGTTGTCACCCCGGAGACTAGCCTCACTTCCTGTGCTGTGTCTGGCCACTCCTGGCCCCTGGCTGCTGCCCCGTCCTCTCCGTCATGGAGCGAAGAAGGTGCAGACGTGGCGTGTGGCGCTGTCTGGCTGCACCTGTGAGGAGTCAGGGCCCGGGGACGGGCATCTGCACCCGTGCCGTGGCATGTGCTGCGGGGCGTGTCCCATCCTCTCTCGTCCCCCCTCTTCAGCCCAGTCCCCACTCGCTCTGGCTCTGGTCAGCTCAGCAGTGGGTCCTGACTGCTCTTGTCTGCGGGCAGCGGTGTGCAGCCCCCACGGCCTTGGGAGCCCACAGGCGTGGGGTCCACAGTGGGGCAGGGTGGGGTCCATCGTGTGTGTGCCCCGTGTGGATTGCATGTGGTCTGTGTGGATTGTGCGTGAGGCTCATGTGGACTCTCTCTGCTCCATGCGGGTTGTGTGTGGGGTTCGTGCAGGGGGTTCTGTATAGGCGCAGTGTGGGGTCGTGCAGGGCCTGTGGGGTCTATGAGAGGTTTGTCGGTCCTGTGGGGTCTTTGTGGGTCCTAAGGGGGCTGTATGGGATTTGTGGGGTCTGCAGCACCTACGGGCAGTTTCCTGAGTTCTCCGGGCAGTTCTCTCAGGGCCAGTGTCCAGGAGCAGCTCCCATGCTTGCATCCCTGTGAGGTTCTGGGTGTGTATTTGGTGTTTGGGCCACACCCGGTGGTGCTCAGAGCACACTCCTGATTCTGCACTCAGGGGCCACTTCTGGTGGGGCCCAGTGGATCCGATGGGGTGCTGAGGTACACACCCAGGTCGAACCCAGGTCGGCTGCATGCAGGGCAAAGTGTCCTTGTTCTGTGGCTCAGTCCCCAGATTCTGGGTAGGTCAAGACTTCCCTGGTGGTCTCTGGTTGGACCCTGAGCCTCAGTGCTGGCCACACTGGTGTGGCCTGTGGGCTGCTCATCCCATGTCCGCTGTTCTCTCCTCCCTGTCAGTGCCTCACTGACAGGGCTGCGCTCCATTCCCGGCGTTCCTGAGGCCCTGGGAAGCAGCCGCTTTCCTGGCTGTTCTGTTTTCTGGAGACTGCCGCGGGCTGGATGGTTCAGATGCTGACAGGCTAGGTGAACCGTCCCGAAACTCCTCCCAGCTCAGAGTCCCAAACCCCCGCCCACCATCCCCACCCCCAGGCCTCTCGTCCGCTGCCTGCAGCCCGTTCAGGGGAAAGTCAGTGCTCTGCTTACTCACCTTTGCTTCACAGCACTTGGGAGGACCGTTGGTTCGGTGGGAGCCGTCCTCAGGGAGAGACCGTGGGGGGAGGCACATGACAGCACAGCTTCCTGGGGTGCGGAGGGGTCCAGGGACGTGGGTGTGGATGCTGCAGCCATTGCCCTCTGCTACCCGTGAGTACCTTCCCCAAGCCGCCTGGAGCAGGCACGGGCCCCGCGGTGCTTCCCTCCTGCGCCCCAGGAGCCTGAGGGCTGGTTCCTTTCAGCAGGGTGCAGAATCCAGGCGGCTCTACAAGGTACGCGGTGCAGGTGTGCACCTGACCAGCCCAGAGCATTTCTCAGGAGCAGCACCGTGAAAGTGTCTCATCAGAGAGAAGTGCTGTAAGGGCAGGTGCACCTGTGGCCCTCCGGGGTCCAGCTCCCAGGATGGCCCAGTGCCTGTCGCCCCACAGCTGCCGGTCCCTTGCCCCAAGCCCCAGGGGGTTGGTGACCTCGAGAGTGCCGGGCCACGAGGCCGCCCTCAGAGCCCCAAACCCTCTGGGCTCCTGGCCTCACTGTCCCTGAGTCCAAACTGGGACACCTCCCTGGAATGTGCACGTCAGCACCTGCTGGCCGTGGGCACTGAGGCGTCCCAGCTCTGCCTTCCCTGGGAGGTGACAGCCGTGACCCGCGGGCCTCACCCAGGACGCAAGGAGCCGTCTCCACGGCTCGTCGGGTCCTGCCTGCAGAGTTCACGTCGAGTCCTGCCCTGCAGCCTCAGTCCCTCCTGCCTCCTTCCTGTCCTTCCTTCCTCTGGCCCTCCTCATGCCCAGACTTCTTCCTCTCTGGCCCTGAAGCCGCAGGGTGCCCCGGCTCACGCCTGGCCCTCCTCCACCCCCGCCCTGCACGGCCCTGCACGGCGGCTGTGACAGAGGCACTCACAGGAGCTTGCGGGTGTGGCTGGAGCGGTCAGGCAGCAGAAAGCTGACGGCCTGTTCCCCTTCCTCAGAGCCGCCCCAGATGAACCCAGCTGTGGAGCCGCTGTCCTGGATGCTGGGCACGTGGCTGTCCGACCCGCCGGGCACCGGCACCTACCCCACGCTGCAGCCCTTCCAGTACCTGGAGGAGGCGCACATCTCCCACGTGGGCCAGCCCATGCTCAACTTCTCGTAAGTGCCACGCAGGGCGGGCAGCGGGAGCGTCGTGTGGTCAAGGACTTGGGTGCGGACACTCGAGGAGGCACCGTCACAGGCCACTCACCCCGAGATCTCTAAGCGTCAGATGACTTGGCTTCCCTCGGGACAAGCCCAGTGGTGGGAGGCCTCCAGGAAGGCCTCAACTGCTGAGATCTAAGAGCAGCTGGGAGCGACTGCCCCGTGTGCCTCGCCCCCTCACCCCACGCACACGGCCCCCAGAGTGCTCCCCCACACTCACAAGACGTCCAGAGTGCCCCCACACTCACAGAACCCCAGATTGCCCCCCACACTCACACAGACCCCCAGGGTGCCCCCCACCCATACAGACTCCCAGAGTGCTCCCCAAACTCAGACCTCAAGAGTGTCCCCACTCTCAGACACCCAGAGTGCTGCCCCCTACTCACACAGACCCCCAGAGTGCTCCCCCCACACTCACAGACCCCCAGAGAGTCCCCCCCACTCACACAGACCCCCAGTGTGCCCAACTCAGACATTTCTCTAGAGGAGTGCAGCCCCTTCCTGAGACCATGCACCAGGCTGTGGGTTGCAGTGGGACAGCCTCATGGATGGGAAGTAGCTGAGAATTATTTTCGTTTGGGGTATTTGTTTGTTTTTTGATGGAACGAGTTGGGCTCCATGCACACCTGGTTCTTCTCGGGCTACTCTTGACACTATGCTCAAGAAAATTAAAGCAGTAATTCAGCATAAAAATTCGAGTGCTCGGGGCTGGAGCAATAATAGCACAGCGGGGAGGGCGTTCGCCTTGCACACGGCCGACCCAGGTTCGATTCCCAGCATCCCAGATGGTCCCCCGAGCACCACCAGGAGTGATTCCTGAGTGTATGAACCAGGAGTAACTCCTATGCATTGCCGGGTGTTACCCAAAAAAGCATAAAAAAATAAAAATTAGAGTGCTGGAGAGCACTTGCCTTCTATGCAGCTGACCTGGGTTCAACCCCAGCACCTGGTGTGGCCTCGAGCCCCTCCGGGAGTGATCCTTGAGTGCAGAGCCAGGAGTAAGCCCTGACCACTCCTGGATACGACCCCCCCCTCCCCCCCACACACACACACAGAAAGAAAGAAAAGTAAGTGAAACTCTGTGCCTTCCTCGGTCTCCAATGATTATGTCAGGTACATAAATGAGCGTAATTACATTAGTGTCAGTTGTTCGGTAAGTGATTAACTTGGCACCGTGTGAATAGCGCCTCTCCATTTGAAGATGAGCTGGAAGACTATGTTGTTGTCTTCTTTATTATTTTCCTTTTCCCCATTTTGGGTCACACCCAGCAATGCTCGGGGCTGACTCCTGGTTCTGCTCTCAGGACTTACTCCTGGCGGTGCTCAGGGGGCCATATGGGATGCCGGGGATTGAACTCAGGTTGGACACGTGCAAGGCAGACACCCTACCCACTGCACCATCACTCCAGTCCCGTCTTCTGTATTCTTGTATTTGTTTGGTTTTTCCTTTGGGCTGCACCCAGCAGTGTTCAGGCCTTACTCCTGTCTCTGCTCAGGAATCACTCCTGGCGAATCACGACACCATATGGGGTGCTGGGAATTGAACCCTGGTTGGCTGCACACAAGACAAGCTCCCTGTCCGCTGTGCTACCCCTCTGGTCCCAATTCTTAGTTGAAAGGATGAGGGCAAAGCCAAATGCTGGGAACCGTTAACACCCAGCAACCCTCCTGCACAGTGGTGTCTCAGACTGGGGTTTCTGGGAAGGTCCTGAGACTTCAGGTGCTGGCCGCTCACTCTCATGACGGGTGTTTCGGTCACATAGGGACGCAGAGAGCGCCCGTGTGGGTGTGTGGAGTCGGTGAGAGTCAGGCTGCTTTCCTCTGAGATTCTGCTAGCCTGGGGCCATGTGGAGGTTGGTGCTGCCAGGATTCTCCGCGGCTGTCCCCTTCCTGACCACATCGGCTGCCCTGCAGGCCTGTGCCCTCAGCACAGCTAGTGGCTTTCAGGACAGGGTAGGGCGGAGGAGTGCTTGGGAGGAAGGCGAGCGGTGGAGCCCAGTGTCCTGCTGGTGGGGGCAGGTGCTGGGCACCGCGGAGCCTGACGTGCCCCTCTCCCGGCTGCAGGTTCAACGCCTTCCACCCCGACACACACAAGCCCCTGCACCGCGAGTGCGGCTTCATCCGCCTCCAGCCCAACACCAACAAGGCGGCCTTCGTCAGCGCCCAGAACACAGGTGCGTCTGCCGGCTCTCCGGCCCGGTGCTCCGAGGGTGGGAGGGCGGGCGGGCTCCGTGCCCCGGCTTGAGTGGCCCTGACGGCTGCGCACTGTGTCCCCGCAGGCATCGTGGAGGTGGAGGAGGGCGAGGTGAACGGGCAGGAGCTGTGCCTCGCGTCCCACTCCGTCGCCAGGGTCTCCTTCGCCAAGGAGCCTCACGTGCAGCAGGTGAGCCCGCCCACCCCGGCCCTGGCCCTGGCCCGCCCACCTGGCCACCCCGTGCTGCCCGCCTGTTGCCGCTCTTCTCACTTCTCCCCAGACCCTGCCCGTATTCTCGCGTGGCCTGCCTCTGTCCACGTGTGCAGCGTCTCCGTGTTGCTCGGTGAACTGCAGAATTCAGAGGGGACGTGCGGCCTGCTGGGTCTGAGCTGACTCTCGGCCCACACTCGGACTCGGAGGAGAGGCCCAGCTTGCGCACTGCAACTCCCACTCTGACTTGGACAGGCTTTGGGGCAGGGGTGCTGCTCTGGGGACCAGACCCCGGCCCCACCTTCAGAGAGCTCCACAGTCCCAGCCCCTCCCAGCCTGTGCAGGCACCTGGAGCGGCCGTTCGGCTGACTCCTGGCTCTGCTCAGAGACCCGTGTGTGGGGCTGGGCTTGATCCAGGGCGGTGGCCACGCTCTGTCCCCGCTGCACCCTATCTGGCCAGTCACGGTGCCCCACGGGAGCAAGCAGCTCCCCCGGGCCTGCCCTGCACTGCCCCAGCTGGGTCTGTGCATCCCTGGGGCCTTCTGCCGCCTCTTCCTCCTGCTCCCCTGTCCCCTCTGGCTTCTGCTCTGGGGGGCTGGGGGGCGGCCAGGTGCCTCAGAGCCCCGAGTGCTGTCTCCTGACTTGTGGGTGCTCCTCCCGGGGCTTCGTCTCTTTGCTAAGTCCCTGAAGCTGTAAGGTCATCTTCATGTTCTCTTTCGATATCTGGGGAGAGTGTCCGGCATTCTTTTCCCTGGTTTTTGTTAATGGGTTCTTAAGCGTTTCCTCTTCTAGGAATGCCGTGTAAGCGTGGCCAGTCGGGGTTGTGTGAACGCAGTGGATGGAGGGGGCTGGTGGCTGTGTGGGCAGTGTGCTGGCCTCTGTGGGCCGAGCTCAGTCCTCGCTGCCTTTATTGGCCCTGTTGGTCTGGAACAGTCCGTGTCACGGCCAGGTCTTGAGCGCCTGCCTCTCAGCGGCTGCTGGTGGGCAGGCCTGGTGCCTTCAGCATCCTGTGCGCTCCGCTGAGCCAGCCAGGGTCATCCCTTCAGCTGGCTGGGACTGGGCTTGTGCGGTGACCGGTCCCTCCCAGGCCTTGCCGTGGACATAGTTGGGGTCCAGGCACTGTCCTGCTGAGGATAGAGCTGCTCAGGGCCCCGCGAGGCTTTCCCCGCCTCCCCGGGGCGGGCTCTGCTCTCCCTTCAGACTGTGGCATGGCCGCCCCACGTGCCAGGGCCTGGCGCTGAGGCATGTTTCTTGTGGTAACACTTAGATCATCTCCTGAAGTTGGGTGTCGGGACCATTTCCAGGATGAGTGTGACTTTCTAGGCTGTTGTTCCCTGACCCCTCTCAGCCAGCCCCTCAGCAGCTGAAGTGGCCCTCCTCCGAAGTACCCCAGAGCCCCTGGCCCTTTGTGTCATTCGCAGATTTACCATCTTCAGGAAAAGGTTCAGATTCATCTGGAATTTCAGAATACTTAGAATAGACTGTGTTTTACTTCTCTGCCACTCACCCCAAGGTGTGTGTGTGTGTGTGTAGACTGTGTTATCTTTGTGTAGTGTTTTACACACTACACCCATGGGGTATGTGTGTAGTCTTAGCCAGCCAGACCAGGATATGTGTGTGTGTGTGTGTGTGTGTGTGTGTGTGTGTGTGCGCGCGCGCTCGCTCACTCACACACAGTGCTTAGCCAGCTGCCAGACCTGACTTATCAGGCCTCTTTACTTCCTGCTTCGTGGGGGGGGGTAGTGCTCAGGTATCTTTGTGTGTTGGGGAGGAGGGCGTATGGGTTCTCTCTTGACAGTGCTCGGGCTGCCCAGACAGGGACCTGCTTCATCACTGTCTTACCTGCATCCTGCTCATTGTTGCTATGGAACCAAAGCCGATGAGAGCTTCTGCTGCAGGGGCAGACAGAGCTTTAGGGGTGGGGGACAGAGGGGCCTGCTCTGGGGATGACAGAGGTACCAGCTGCATTGGGGGGGACAGAGGGAACCCCTTGCGGGGACAGTGACCAGCTCTGCCCAGTAGCCCTGCTGACCAGAGCCTGGAGCTTTTTTTTTTTAAATTTTATTGAATCGCTGTGAGATAGTTGCAAGCTTTCATATTTGGGTTACAATCACACAATGATCAAACACCCATCCTTCCACCAGTGCACATTCCCCACCACCAATATCCCCGGTATAACCCCCCTTTCCCACCCTCCCTCTGCCTCCATGGCAGATAGGATTCCCCATAATCTCTCTCTACTTTTGGGCATTATGGTTTGCAATACAGACCCTGAGAGGTTATCATGTTTGGTCCTTGATCTACTTTCTGCACACATCTCCCATCCCGAACGATTCCTCCAGCCATTTTTTTCTTAGTGATCACTTCTCTATTCCAGCTGCCTCCTCCCCTTTGCTCATGAGACAGGCTTCCATTATGGAACAATCTCCCTGGCCCTTGTGTCTACTGTCCTTGGGTGTCAGTCTCATGTTATGTTATTTTATACTCCACAAATGAGCGCAGTCCTTCTATATCTGTCACTCTTTCTGACTCATTTCACTTAGCAAGATACTCTCCATGTCTATCCATTTTTCTTTAACCAGTCATCTGTTCTAGGGCACTTGGGTTGTTTTCAGATTTTGGCTATTGTGAACAGTGCTGCAATGAACATGAAAGTACAGATGTCATTTCTACTGTGCTTTTTTGTATCCCTGGGATATATTCCCAGAAGTGGTAACGCGGGGTCATATGGAAGCTCAATTTCTAGTTTTTGAAGGACTGTCCATATTGTTTTCCAGAAAGGCTGGACCAGTCAGCATTCTCCCACCAACAGTGAAAGAGTGTCCCTTTTTCCCCACATCCACGCCAGCACTGGTTGCTTTTGTTTTTTTGAATGTGTGCCAGTCTCTGCAGTGTGAGTGAGATGCTATCTCATTGTTGTTTTGATTTGCATCTCCCTGATGGCTAGCGATGTGGAGCATTTTTTCATGTACCTTTTGGCCATTTGTATTTCTTTTTTGAGGAAACTTCTGTTCATTTCTTATCCCCATTTTTTTTATGTGGTTGGAGGTATTTTTCTTGTGCAGTTCTACTAGTGAGAGCCTGGAGCTTTGTCTGTGAAGGTGCCCCTGTAGGGTGGGGGCAGGGTATGAGGAGAGAAGATGGCCAGGGGCAGAGGGTTGGGGACTGGAAGCCCATCACCCTGTACCTGCGGCCGACCCCAGGCTGCTCTGCTCCCCAGGGGCTGCCGGGAGCAGGACCTCCAGCAGACTGAACTGCCCCACCCCGCCTTGCTGGTTCTGGTTCTGTCTTCTCTGTTTCCTTCAGAGTCCTGAGGCCTCCCCAGCGGAGGCTGGCGGTCCTGTAGCCCAGGGCCCGTGAATTCAGGGCCTCACATATGCCAGGCAGGCGTGCGTCCTGCCCTTGAACTGTCTTCCAGACGTGTACCGATTGGGGTTGAAGTAGAGCTCTGACCATGTGTAGGGACGGGGGCCTGCTGTCTTCTGCGCGTCTCAGTTTCATGGGAAACGGCAGTTTCACTTAAAGCCTTTGCTTTAGGGGGATAAGGCACTTGCCTTGCGTATGGCCAAATTAGTTCCTCCCTCTTTCTAGCACGTCTTCCCTCGCTCCTTTCCTTTGTGTTTTGTTGTTTGGTGCTGGGGATAGAACCCAGGTAGGTCGTGGCATGGCAGCTCTGTCCCTGTGCTCAGTCCAGCAGGTGCTGTGCTACTGCAGTCCCGTGACTGATTTTTGACGGCAGGTGGGGGCGCAGACTCAGACACCCTTCCTCCGACAGGTCTGTCCCCGCAGCAGCACTGAGCTGTGTGTGGCCCCCAGACAGCAGCAACAAAGATGTAATTTAAAAAATAAAAGTCTTGTAAAGATGGGCTGGAGCGATAGCACAGTGGATGGAGCGTTTGCATTGCACACGGCTGACCTGGGTTCGATTCCCAGCATCCCATATGGTCCCCCAACACCGCCAGGAGTAATTCCTGAGTGCATGAGCCAGGGGAAACCCCTGTGCATCGCCGGGTGTGACCCAAAAAGCAAAAAAAAAAGTCTTGTAAAGAGGTGAGACTGATTGTACAGCAGGTAGGTGCTTGCCTTACATGTGGCCCACCCAGGTTTGAGCCCCAGTACCCCACATGGTCTCCAAGCCTGCCAAGAGTGACCTCTGAACACAGCCAGGAATAACCCCAGAGCACTGCTGGGTGTGCACCCCCCAACCCCAATCCCCCCAAAAAAAAAGTTTGTGAATTTTTTATACTTGTGTTCACCTGCTTGATTAATGTTTAGTGTTTTATTCTTTTTGAGGTTACTATAAATGCAATTTTATTTCTTTTTGTTGTTCTGTCTTTGGGTCACACCTGGTGTTCTCAGGGCTTCCTTCTGGCTCTGCACTCAGGGATCAGACCTACATCAGCTGCGTGCAGGGCGAGTGCTCTGCCGTTGTCCTATCGTCTGCTCAGTTTTCCTTGTCCCTTTTTAAATTGCTCGTGTGTGTAGAAATGCAAACGATTGTGTGTGGACTTTGTATCCTATTTCTTTGCTGAATTCATTCATTCAAGGAGTTTTGATTTTACTCACGAGGTTTCTTATAGCAGATCATGTATCTGCAAACAGAAATCTTAGTTCTTCTTCCCTGAGTTGGCCCCCTTTTATTTCCTCCTCTTCTCCTCTTGGATTGAACTTGCCGCAACGTATGGCCTAGAAGCGGTGCAGGTGGCAGCGTATGGCCTGGAAGCCGTGTCCGTGGGCGGCTCGCCAGCGTAGAGCTCTTGTCTCTGTGCGGATTGAGGTGGCCACTGGTGCTGCTCCAGTGGACCTGGCCGCGCTGAAGTAGTTTCTCCTGGCTGGGGTTTCTTGGCTCTGTTCCCCAGGGGCAGCAGCTGGCATTGTCTCGCCTCAGATGAGAAGACCTTGGGTCTTCTTCACTTTGCTAATCGCACCTCCTTTATTTGTTTTTGTTTGGGGTCCACATCTGGGGATACTCAGGGCTTATTCCTGACTCTGTGCTCAGGGATCACTCCTGGTGGGCTCGGGGGACCGTGGAGTGCTGGGAAACGAACCCAGGTGGGCCCTGTGCAAGGCATGCGCCCTCCCCACTGTACTGTCTCTCCAGTCCATAATGTGTTCTTTATTGACTGGTTTTATGTGTGTCCAGTTATCCGTATTCCAGAAGTACATGCTGCGCGACCGTGACGTCCAGTGTCTGTGATGCCTTGCTGTGGCCGTGCTCTGCTGTCTGTGGTGTCGTACTGAAGTGGGCTGCTCTCTGGTACCATCTTTCTGACTTTGGGGTTGGGATGATTCTGGCTTGTACAGTGACGTAAGCACCGTTTTCTCTGGGGAAGCCATCAGACCACACCTGTTTGCCCGAGATTCAGTCTCCCTGTGAGTTAGGTTTTCTGTTTCTCCATCATTCAGTCTTAGTAGGTTTCATAAATTCAGTCTTTCTTACCCCTTTTTCTTTCCTTTTAATTTTGGGGTTTACATTGGTCTTTTGGATTCGGTACTTGGGGGTCTTAAGGGGAGGGGCTCAGCCACACCTGATAGTGCGGAGGGCTTACTCCTGGCTCTGTGCTCAGGGATCGCTCCTGGTTCTGTGCTTCAGACCAAGGTCATGCACACGCCAGGCTCTTCCTGCCTCTGGCCCTGGCTTTTTGTCTGTCTGGGTCTAGTCCACCCCCAGTGGGGCTCAGCTACTACTCCTGGCTCTGTGCTTGGCGGGCCGTGTGGCCCCTGGGATTGAACCTGGGCCTGCATGCAAGGCAGTCCTAGGTGGGCTGGTTGTTTTTTATTGAATCACTGTGAGATAGAACACGACAAAGTTGTTCATGATTGGGTTTTCAATCATACAGTGTCCCAACGTCCATCTACCACATCCATCCCTCCACCAGTGTATAATGTCCCACCACCAAGTGTCCCCAGCCCCCCCCCCCCCCGCCTCCCCCTATGGCAGGCACTTTTTTTTTATTTTATTTTCATAAAGTTGTTCACAATTGATTACATTCAAAATATTTCAACACCGGTCCCACCACCATTACACCTTCCCACATTATTTCAGAGTGTCCCACCACTCTCAAGCCTGCTTCACAGGCAGATTTTGCATTGCTTGTTATGAAAAGTACAAGATATCTGTAAGGGTCTGTCTCATAGTGAGTCAACAAAGAAAGGGGGAAAAAATAGTATGAGATACTGCATGGCCACAAAAGCAGCTGAGTGCTCCTGGGATTCTAAAAATTGAAATAACTGAGGCCCGGAGCCATCTCTGCAGCGAGCTGCGTGGTCCTGAGATTCTTCCGTGAGTCCCTGGATCACGGCTGGTAATGTGCATTAATGGCACCCGGAGGCAGTTCTCGGCGTGACAGCCAGAACCCCGGGAGGGCGGGGAGATGGGAAGGGACGGCCCAATCCCAACTCCTTGAGTCCTGGTGTTTTCAGTCACTGGCCCCATGTACCTGGTTTGCAGTACATGTACTAAAGCAGTCATCATGTGTGTTCAGTGTTTTTATCAGGAAGGTACAGCTGGAGTAGCCCTTTTAACTGAGTTGCAGCTTTGGGGTGTGGATGTGACTGCCAGGGCTTCCAGAAGTACAGGGAGGTGGGGAAGGTTGCCCATCCAGATCCCGAGAAACCTGCATACCCATATTTTCAACAGCTTAATTTTTCAGTGAGGTCCATCTCGAGACAGAGGGGTCTGGTCAGGGACAAGGCAGTGATTTTGGGTTTTTTTGCTTTTTGGGTCACACCCAGCAATGCTCAGGGGTTACTCCTGACTCTGCACTCAGGAATTACTCCTGGCGGTGCTTGGGAGACCATATGGGATGCCGGGGATCGAACCCAGGTCGGCCGGGTGCAAGGCAAACGCCCTACCCGCTGTGCTATCGCTCCGGTCCCAGGGCGGTGATTTTGGACTGTGGGCACAAGCAGCTGCCGGGGGCTCTGTTGGGGGAAGCACTGTGCCAACCCACCCCCCTCTGATGTACCCCGTAATACTCACCCGTGTGAGCCTGAGAGGATTTACTGCATCTTTTTTTTTTTTTAATCTGTTTTGAGATTTGTTTACAAATCTCTGGAGCAAGACTTAGAAATGAGCTTGTAAGATGGAGCCGGTGGTGGTTTGTGGGTGGGGCTCCCACGCACCCGAATATTGGCAGTTTAATTTCTCGGAAAACATGGTCTCGAGTTACTGGGGTTCGGCCAGAGTCATAGTGGTGACTCTGAGGTGTCTGGAAGCCCAAGGGCCCCATCAGGCTGCTGATGCTCTGGCCCCACGGAACCGGGCTGGCCTGCCAGTGGCACTGCGCCTTCTGGACCCCAGCGATGACGGCAGCAGCGACCCAACCGGGACCAGGACCAGAGCCAGTATGGCTGCCAGATGCAGCTCTGGCACTCCGGGCAGGCCGTCACCAGCGATCCAGCAGAACCTGACCCAGGGGCGCTCGCCAGCTGGTGCTCAGGGGGTTTTCCTCCAGAATACGCTGCGGGTGGCACAGCAGCAACGGCTGGTCCATGGGAGGGCCGGGACGCCCTGCCGGTGGCAACAGCGAGTCACCAGGGCCACCCGAGCCAGCTCCCCGTGGTAGGAGCCCGAGGACCCGTTCGCTCCGGGATCTGCGCACTGCGGTGGTGCCTGGCTGGACCCAGAGCGCTAGTCGTCCACACACTCTGCCGCCACCTGTCCACGGCGCCGAGAGCTGCGGCTGCTCCGTCGTTGGCCGCGCTGCCGCCGTCTCTCACGAGTCCCGCTCGGGCCAGCGCCCCCCAGGGGGAGCCAAGCTGGTCTCGTGCAAGGCCACTCTGAGAGAAATATTCAGAGGGCACTTGCTTTCATTCATGCAGACACCCTCTGAGCCCATGGGCCAGCTCTCAGAGCGCTGAGCTGCCGCCCATCTGCCAGCTCTGGTGCCCACGTCAACACCATCTTGGGAGTCCCTTCATTTCCTCACTCATACTTTAAAGCTCAGTAAACCTTTTCCCACCCGGGTTGCATGGACTCCGTTAAATTTTTTTTTTTTTTTGCTTTTTGCTTTTTGGGTCACACCGGCGATGCTCAGGGGTTTCTCCTGGCTCTGCACTCAGGAATCACCCCTGGCGGCGCTCAGGGGACCATATGGGACGCTGGGAATCGAACCCTGGTCGGCCGCGTGCAAGGCAAACGCCCTCCCCGCTGGGCTATTGCTCCAGCCCCTCCATTAAAATATTTTAGAGGAGACCTCCAAGGGCCAGGGTGCACATCCTGCGTCTTCCAGCCCAGAGTCAGTTTCCAGTGCCACGTGACTCCGAGCTCCAAATGCTGAGGCATTCCTGTGCCCGCCCTCTGGCGTCGCTCCGCTGTTCGGCTGCACAGGGCACGGCTGCGACATTCGCCTGGGTTTCCAGGTGGCGGCTCGACAGAGTTCGTTTGCCAGCCAGTTCTATTGTTTTATATCATAGTTAGGTCTTGAGATTGTTCTTTTTAAGTGTCTCAGCACTGTCAGTACGAATTCCTCCTTAGGAATTCCATCCCAGGAATGAGTAGGCTGAGCACAGGCTGTCCATGCGAGAGGCCCGGGCCCAGCCCCATGCCCCGAGCACAGCCAGGGCCATCCCCGCTCCCCGCCACAGAGGGAAGGAAGAGAAGCCAGGACGCGTTCACTGCGATGCTGCCCTCCTTCGGTCCCGGTGTTCAGGACCTCCTACCAGAGCCCCCCTTCCTCCTGGGGACAGCCCCCAGGCCCAGCCGTGGCATGGGGCGCGTCCAGCCCTCCCGTCTCGGAGGGGAGGGTGCTCTGCAGGAGAGGCGGCTGCTGGGGAGCACCAGGGCGGAGTCGCTCCCTCTGCCCCCTTGCTCGTGTCTAAGTGTGCAGGCCTCAAGGGCCTGTTGGTTACACTTCCCCCCATCTGCTTCTGGGGTTCAGCCCTTTGGGCCCCTGGTCCTGGGCTCTCTGTGGCCTCTGCTCTCACACTGAGTCCCGACACTGCTCCAGGCAGCATGTGTCCTCCAGACTCCCAGCCTCCACAGCTGCCCGTGGGTCCTGCACGCCTCCTGCAGACCCTGGGCCCGGCTGCCCTCGTGCTGTTCCACCACCTCAAGCAGGCCCTGAGTCTGGCTGTTCCGGTGAGATGAGCTGGCTACGGCCAGAAGCACGAGCAGACTCTCCTGGAAGTCATTCCACCCCTTCGCTCGCTGGCTCACAGACCGCCACCTTCAGGCTTCTCTTCCGCACACCCCTTTCTCGGGGGTCGGCCGCTGTCGGCACGTGACTCGCCCCCGTAGTGCGGACACCGGATGGGGTGTTTCTTAACACGTTGAGCTCAGTGACAGGCAGGCGGCGAAGAGGGCGATGAAGGAGCAGAGCCAGTCCGGGTCCGAAGCAGATCACAGGGACCAGCCGTGCCCCCCGGGTTCTGATAAGGCTGCAGGACAGGGAGGGCAGCCGTGGCCCTCACACAGGTGGCCTCTCGCACATTCTCAGGCCTCTCGCACAGGCAGCCGCGCACACGGCCGTCTCACGGGCCGTCTCAGGCACAGGCAGTCCACGGCAGGCCGTTTCGCCGCGCAGACTGAGAGGGCAGCTGCAGGACCTGAGAGTTGAGGGGATTTGGGAACCAGACCCCAAGGTGCTTTGTGTTTCTTGCTCTGTTCAGATCACCCGAAGATTCCGGTTAAACTCGGAAGGCAAACTTGAGCAGACGGTCTCCATGGCAACCACTACCCAGCCGATGACTCAGCATCTCCACATCACCTACAGGAAAGTGACCCCGTGACCCAGAGCAAGCTTCGTCAGGCGGGGCCTGGCCACCATGGGGGGACACGGGCCTTGTGGGCTCGTAGAGTGTCGCCGCGTGCCCCTGTAATGGCAGAGTAAAACCAAATAAAAGGCCTTTATTTTTATGGCTGAGCATTTTGGATAGGATCACTGGCGCAGAGTGGACCTTTCTTTTGCTGCTGGAGACCGTGTCTGAGTTTTCTGTTTGTTTTACCGTCGGGGTGCACCCAGCAGTGCTCAAGGGTGATGCCTGGCTCTGTGTGGAGGTCACTCACGGGGTTGCCCAGGAGACTCTGTGGGGCCAGGGATCTCGAGCACTCCGGTCCCCACTTGGAAAGCATGGCTCTCACTCAGCCCCAAACTGCTTGTCCTGCCCCTTCCAAGTTGGTTCAATGACTCTGAGGTGGGGCTGGCGGCAGTGGGAGCACCTTTCTGCCACGTGGGGGCCTCAGGGAGCCCTTAAACAGGGCAAGGAGGGCGTGGGCCTCCAGGGCCTTCTCAGAACCCAGGTTCAGGCATTCATCCCTCAGGGTCCAGTAACTGGGGCACAAAGGTTGGCATGGAGAAGGCTCACTCAAGCCGAAAGGCTGAGATCCCAGGTACAAACAGGGCCTTGTGCGCCCGACCCTGCAGGGCCCAGCTGGAACGGGTGCCTGGACCTGTCTCCCAGGAGCCCGCAGTTCCCACATAGTCTCGCATGGCTGCTTCCGGGTCGACCACCGTGGTGAAACAAACTTGCTTGTTTGACTCTGCAGCCAGCCAGTGGTGGCCTGTGTCCTCCTCATGGCCAGTCATAGAAACAGAGGCCACCACTCGCCTGATCTGCCTTGGCTCCTCTCCATCGTGACAGACCTAGCAGGTCCTGCTTCTCTTCAGACTCACTGACCCCTGCCCAACGGCTTGGTCATGAGCTGCTCAGTGGGCAGGAGAGTGCAGAGCTCTGGTTTGACCTGCATCACCGCAGACGGGCCCCCCGCCCCCCGCTCCCCCCCCCCCCCCCCCCCGCCAAGCAGAGCCAGGAGTAAGACAGGAGCTCGCCAGGTGGCCCAGAGGGCTGCCAAGGGTGCCGTCTACCCCCTGCCCAGGCCGGATGGTCAGGACTGCCGCAGCACCCTCACCTGTGTGCACAGCAGAGACAGGCCCAGCCCGACCGGCAATTGGAGTCTGTCTGCCCAAGGTGCCCAGCCCCAGGTCACTGGCAGGGTGTCCTCTCGCCCTTGCCCCCGGGAGTGCCCAGGTCCTGCTGGTCACTGTTGGTGCTGCTTTCCTGGCTCTGTGGGCTCTTAGAGTGGCCCTGGCCCCCTCCAGCTCAGCTCCCCACTGTGTCAGGGAGTGGCAGTGAGTCTGTCCCCACTGCTGAGCTGTCCTCGGTGGCCCACAGAGCAGCCAGAGCTGGAAAACACTCCAGCACCGTCCCAGGGCAGGGCCATGTCAGCCCCCCTCAGGGTCACGGGTGCAAATGGTACGAGTCTGCAGATGACCCACAGGTACCTGACCACCCACCCTGACCTTTGGCCACAGTGCCCATCCCTACCACACTGCCCCGTGGGCCTGCTTTTTCCCAGTAGCCGGCTCCGTTGAGTGGGATGGGGTGAAGGCCGTATGCCTTTCAGACTTCCAGAGCCAGAACCTCACGTAGGCTCTGGGCCTGGGTCAACCTGGTGGCAAGAAATGGAACTCTGGGTGGTTTGTTTGGCTAATATTTCTGTTGCCTTTTTCTGGGTTTTGGAACTCCTGAATTAGAAATATTAGTCCTATTCAAGACCACTCCTGACGGCGTTCGGGCCCAATGCTGAGTTCTCGCCTGCAGTGCTCGGGGGATTTCATGGTCCTGGGGATCACCCATCTGATCACATCACTATCGGGGGTGACACAGCCATAACAGTCACGACTTTGGCTAATACTTCTAGGGGCACTGTTGAGCGCAGTAGCATGCTGCAGGGCAGCCCACAAGAGGGGTGTTCCGGCCCCTGGAGGGGCCGCATCAGCACGCCCCCCCCCCTTTCCTGCCTCCAACTGCAAACATGGCGCCGTTGTTACTGTCTTGGGGCCACGCCCAGTAGTGCTCGGGCTTACTCCTGGCCCTGCATTCAGGGATCAATCCGGGCAGGCTTGGGGGACCATCTGGGATGTTGGGGATTGCACCCGGGTCGGCCACGTGCAAGGCAAGTGCCCTGCCATACTCTCCGGCCCCTGCAAACATTTGGAAAGTGCTGGACCCTCTAACAGAATTTTCCTGTTGTCTTCCACCGAGGGCCCGTGACTCAAGGCGACGTGCAACCCACTCAGGCCTGTGGCATCTGCTTTGGCGGGCGGGGAGCAGGGGCGGTGCCCGCGCCTCCAAGCTCACCACTTTTCTCCACTTGTAGGAACAAGCCTACCGTCCTGCTGCCTCTCCGGCTGCTTCCAGGCCTCGGGCCTGTCCTCAGTGTCTGGAGCCCAGTGCCCTCGGGCCTCCTGCGCACTCACCAGCCGGGGTGCCAGGCCCAGGCCTCCTCCTGCTTTGGATGACTTAGTTTGTTTAGACTGGGGCTGCAGGCCATCAGGGTGGGTGCTGGCCTTGCATGTGGCCAGCCTGGGTTCCATTCCTGACACCCTGTGTGGTTCCCCGAGCCCCACAAGGAGCAAGCCCTGAGCACCGCTGGGTGTGGCCCAGAAACAAATCCCCACACAAACAACACAGATTGGGAGTGTTGAGGACTACTGTGGAGTCGTCAGGGACGTGTTTTCCTGCACCTCCTGATAGATGGTGCTGGGCTCACAGTGGCCACAGATGAGAGAAGCAGATGGCCACCGCCATGGACATAGACCTTTACTGGACCACACTCCGGGCCTGTACACCACGGTGGGGGGCTCCTCCGGTCTGGCGGAAACCAGAGCACAGGGTCCCCGCAGACGGGGACAGTCCACCAGGCACCCTGGATTCAGCCACACCGGGCTTCCAAGGGCAGGGCTCGCGGCTGCAGGGACCGAGACCAGCTGTGTCCCCGAGGCCACGGAGGGGGACAGGCCAGAGCGACCGGAGAGCGGGAGGCCCACTGCCACCCCGGCTGCAGGCGCCGAGGCCAGGCTCATCTCTCAGGCAGCAGCAGGAAGAAGGCGGCCTTCAGGAAGCGACCAAAGCCACACAGCGCCGCCACCAGCCAGTGCGAGCGGAAGCCGGGCTCCGTGTTCACCACGCACTTGAGGACATCGGTCTGCGGGAGAGGAGGACAGGGACGTCACCGTGCTGGGCAGCGGGGCAGACGAGGCCAACTCCCGTGGGTCCCACACAAGGGCCCCGGGGGCAGCGCCGGGGTCAGGGCGGACCCTCTGGAGGGACAAGACCACGCACCCCATCCCAACCCCTCACCCATCCACCACGCCTCCGCAGCCACGGGGCCAGGGTCTTGCGCACGAACTCCCCGAGGCAGTCGACGAGCGCGTGCACTGTGGCGGGCTGGGCCTGCCGCACGCAGTCCACCGCCAGGCCTGCCGCCACCGCATACAAAGACACGACTTTGCCCCACGTGACGCCTGCAAGAGAGAGCAGTCGGCAGGCCCAGCCCCGGTGCCGATGCCCCTGCCCCCAGCTGAGGCCTGCCACTGCTCCCGTCTGCAGTAGCTCCCCAGCTTCCCCACGCCCTGCACGGGGGCCGGAGCCCACCTCAGCCCTCTGGCACTGGGAGAAGTTGGTGGACAGCAAGTGCCCTGTGGAAGAGACGGTCCAGGCTGGGGGCTGTTGGGCACATGGTGGGGCTCAGGCGCCTCCTGGGGCGGGCATGTACCCTCCCGGCTCGGTCGCATGCCAGGCTCCCCTGGCATCTGAGGGATTTGAGCCACACCAGGCTGTGCTCAGGGGTCATTCCCAGCAGTGCTGGGGGGACCAAGTAGTGCCGGGATTGAACCTGTGCAAAGCCTAAAATGCCCTGCAGTCATGCATGTGTGTGTGTGTGTGTGCGCGCGCGCGCGTGTGTGCGGGCACTGAGGATTACTCATGGCAGGGCGTGGGGGACCATCTGGGTTGCTGGGGATAAAACCCAGATCGGCTATGTGCAAGGCAAGAGCCCTGCCAGCTGTGCCCCACCCATTAGCCACTTTGATTGGTGTCTCAGTTGGGCCCCTGACCACCTGGGGTGGCCATTCTCTCGCACTCGTTCACAAGATGACCGTGGCAACCTCAGGTTATGAGGCAGTCCCCAGGTGACAGGAAGCAAGAACCAAGATCCACACAGGGGTTGCTGGAAGTGCCCCAACAGCAGAGCAGGTGAGGGGCAACCCAGAACCCCCCACTCACACTCACTTCCTACACCCCCTTGCTCACCAACTGACACCCTCTCTCACACACACACACACACATCCTTGCTCACCTATCCAAGCCCTCTTAGAGACTCTCAACACCCACACCCCCTCATCACACCTCACTCACCCTCTCACGCACCCACATCCCTCACACCCAAAACCCCTTCCCACACACCCTCACACCCCTTCACACCCATGCCTCTTTTCACACACATTCTCTCTCCCCCCACACACACCCTCACATGCCCACACACACACACACACACACACACACACACACACGGCCATACCCTTCACACCCCCACACCCCCTCACACACACCCATACCCACCCCCTATTCCAGCAGTTCAAAAGCCCACGAGGCTGGGCGGTCCCCTGCAGCCCCTCAGGCCCGTGTCTGGAGCACGTGGGAGGGGGCCGGTGCTGGGGACATGCAGCCTCACTGCGAGGGGACCCCGGCAGCCAGGCCCCAGGACTCAGAGCCCAGCCCGTGGGACCCACCTGCAGAGAACATGTGAGCGGCCACTGCCAGGAAGGCATCGGTGACAGCCGCCTCCGAGTGCAGGGGCAGGTGCAGCTGGCGGGCCACGTTGCGGTACACGCTGGGCCGGATCTGCTCCAGCTCGTCCCCTGCAGCACACGGGGGTCAGTGCCGCGTCCTCCCAGCCCGAGCCCACTCACCCCCACACGGTCTGCCCAAAGCTGCCCACGTGGCCCCACCCCACTGGCAGGACCCCCCCCGCCCCCCAGCCGGCTGGGCCGGTGTGGCGGGAATCCTGGGATCTGGGCCGGGCCTGCCTGCTGGTGACTCACCGGCCACAGTGCGTGGCAGACCAGGCAGGTGGCCAGCACCCAGCCCAGCAGAGGCTGCACTAGGGACCCCACGGCAGGCATGAAGGTGCAGCCCCGCCCAGTGAGGCAGCGGGCCGGGCAGCGGGGCCCAGCGGAGGGGCCCAGTGGGCTGTTTCCCTGAGCCAGCTGGCTCCATCCTTTTCTGATCCCCTTCTGAAGTCAGGACAGGACCAGGGCAGGGGCAGGGCGGGGCTTGGGTTTCCCCTGGAGGACCACTGAGGAAGCCCAGGGGACATGACCCTCCTTCCTGTTTGCACTGGCTGAAGCAGCTGGGGACACTGGGGGAGGGGCAGCAGGGGACCCAGGGTGGGGTGCTGGGGGGGGGCAGGAGCTGGGGAGGCCTGACGGAAAGGCCTCTGGGGCACCACGGAGACTGCGCAGACCCACACAGGCAGCTCTGCGCCCAGCGAACAGGAGTTCAGGCTCGCATGGGGTCCTCCGGGTCACCCGCTGAAGCTACCCCTACACACACACACGTACACAGCACACACGCACGCAGTACACACACACCTGTGCACGGACACTGGTACAGGTATGTGTGTACAAACAGGCACACACAGTACACATACACCCATGCTCACACACTGGTACATATATAGGTTTATAAACACGGGCACAGTATATGTACACCCATGCGCACACACGGGTACATATGGGTGTGTACAAACGGGCACACAGTACACATACACCCGTGAGCACACACTGGCACATATACACGTATACTAATTGATGTACATAGGGTAGACATCCCCACAGACACGCACACAGGGGGGGACACATTCCTGGGCCCACACCCAAACAAGGACAAGCCGACCGCGTCCCGGCCGCTGCCTCCTCCCCCAGCCCGCCGAGTGGGCTGCGCGCCCCACGGCCCCTAGGCTCATTTCAAAGGGGAATCACTGCGGGTCGGGCCTCCTTGCGGGGAGAACCGACCGGGGATGCTGCCCCCGCTGGGCAGCCTGGCCCAGGGCAGGGGTACAGGGCCGGTTCTCCAAACACACCGGGGACGCGCGGGCCCGCAGGGGCTCCCGGGCCGGCTCGGGGCCGGGACCACTTTGGAAGCTGAGCCTCCAAAGCCCTAGTCTCCGGGCTGCTGGCGGGCGGTCCGCGCGGCAGGGCCAGCGCGGGCGAGGACGGGCGCGCGGGGCGCGGAGCGCAGGGAACGCGGGGTCTCGCGGCGCGCGGGGGTCCGGGTCCGGGGCGGGGGCGGGGGGCTCCGGGTCTGGGGGCGCCGGATCAGGGCCTCCGGGCGGGGTCTCCGGGGCCGGGGCGGGGGTGCTCCGCTCTGGGGGCGCCGGATCAGGGCCTCCGGGCGGGGTCTCCGGGGCCGGGCCGGGGCGGGGGTGCTCCGGTCTGGGGGCGCCGGGCCGGCTCGGGGCCGGGTCCCGGGCGGGGGTCTCCGCGTCCGGGCCGGGTCCGGGTCCCGGGGCTCCGGGCCCGCACTCACCCAGGCGCAGCAGCACGGCGCTGACCTCGGCCAGGCGGCCGGGCGGGCAGGCGGGCTCGGGCGCGCTCCAGGCCAGGCCGGCGCGCAGCAGCCGCGCGCGCACGAACTCGCGGCCGAGCGCCTTGGCCTGCGCCACCAGCTCCTTGTCGGTGGGCGCGCGGTCCAGCGCGCCCCTGAGCTCGGCCGCCAGCGCGGACGGGCGGCGCAGCAGCTCCATGGCCCGCCGCGCGCCCGGCCCGCCGCATGCCCGGCCCGCTCGGCCCGCCCGGCTCGGTCCCGCCCGGCCCGACCCGCCCGGCGCGGCTCGGCGGGGCGCGGGCAGCGCGGCCGCGGGCGCCGAGGTCCGGCCCGGCCTTGTAGGGAAGCGCCGGGGCGGGGCGCGGCCGCCGCTTAAGGAGGCGCCGGAGGCCGGGCCGCGCCCCCGCACCTGGCGCGCGGCACCCCGGGGTGCGCCCCTGCCCGGTCCCCCCCGCCCGCGCGCCCCTCGCACCGGTCCCTGCCCGCCGGACCACCCCTGCCCCGCACCCCGGCCCCAGCACCCCTGCCCGGCCCCCCGTGCCCCGCGTCCCTGCCCCGAAACCCCCTGCCCCTCGCCGGGGCCCCGGCCCGGCCCTGGCTGCCCCCAGACGCTCTGTTGTTGCCCTGGGGGTGACCTCCAGGTCACCTGCCCCTTAGCACTGACGCGCACAGCTGCCCAGCCTGACCCCAGCACACCTGCCGGGGTCCACGTGGGCCTGGCCCATCACCACGCCGGCTGTGGGCGTAGTGTCCCTCTGCTACCCCGCTGCTCGGCCTCAGCACAAGCCAACGCTCCCGCTGCACACCTCGCGTCACCCGGAGTGCGGGAGGATCGTTCTCTCCGGGTGCGCGTAGGACGCTGGCCAAAGTCGGACACCTGGGGCCACAGTGACCACACGGGCCCAAGGAGGGAACTGTATGCTGTGTTCTCTCAGAATAGCGGGAAACAGCTAAGAGCCTTGGAGATGATCACGAGTCACACACAGCTTTTCTAAATAACTGGCGGGCCAAATTGCAGGGGAAGTGATGAAGGTGATTGTTGTTTCATTGTGTTTTGGGTCACGCCCAGCAATACTCCCGGCTCTGCACTCAGGGAACCGGGCGGGGCGTTGGGATGGGGAACTGGGTTGGCCATGTGCAAGGCGAACGTCCTACCTGCTGTCCTATCTCTGTGGCCCAGTCACAAAGTATTTTAAATGAAAATAACATAATATTAAGCCTAGTGGGATGCAGTTAAAGTGGTACTTTGAGGAAAACGTGTGGCTTTAGAAGGAAGATTGAAATTAATCTCCTGGGGCTGGAGCAATAGCACAGCGGGTAGGGCATTTGCCTTGCACGTGGCCGACCTGAGTTCGATCCCCAGCATCCCACAGGGTCCCCCAAGCATCGCCAGGAGTAATTCCTGAGCACAGAGCCAGGAGGAACCCCTGAGCATCGCCAGGTGTGACCCAAAAAGCCAAAACAAAATTAATCTCCTAGGAGATAGGGCAGAGGGGAAGGGCACGTTCGCTGCACGAGATGACGCAGACTTGATCACTGAGCCCTACCAGAGGTGACCCCTGAGCACAGAGCGAGGGGTAAGCCCTGAGCACCACTGGGTGTGGCCCCAAACCAAGCAAATGAGCCGGGGGCAGAGAGACAGTACAGTGGGCAGGCACTCGCCTCATGCACACTGACCCCGTCCATCCCCAGCACCCTGCATCCCCCTGAGCCCCCCAGGGCTGACCCGCCCACTGCCCATCTGCTGGGTGGTCTGCGAGGGGCCGCCTGACGGTGTGAGTGTCTGCCCTGCACCCCTCGGTGCTCTCTCAGACCGCGGGGCTCCTGCACTAGTTTCACTCATGGCCTCCCTCCGCGTCCAGGGGCCCGTGGAATGTTCTGGAATGTCCTGTGTTTCAAGATGAGCACTGAGAGTCAGGAGCTCTGGGAGGCCCTTGCAGCAGTTGTCGCAGAGTTGGGCCTAAGCCAGGCTGGGGGCTTCAGGGTCTGCCCCGGGGTCTGGGGTCTGCCCTCTCCGCCCCAGGACTCTTGCTCCCGCCCCCGCCTCGTGGCCTCAGCCCTCATCCTGCCCCCTGACAGCCTGGTTTGACTTCAGGTCCAGGGAAACGTGCCCTGCCCACCTCCCCTGGGGAGCGTGGACAGCCTGGGGCAGGGTCCTCTCCTGCAGGCCAGGCCCAAGTCTGAAGCAGCCTGGAAGGGCAAGCTAGGAAGCTGAAGGGAGGTTGGCTGGTGGGACCTTGGCGGCCCAGCCCAGGCCCAGGAGCACGGCATTCCCCGCCCACCCGGGCCCCAGTTTCCCCTCCAGATTCCTCTCCTGAGCTGTGTGGAGTCGCCCCTACTGGGTGCAGACCCAGCACCTCCCTGGAGGCCTGGGGCCCCTCTGCAGCCCACAGGCTCCTGCTCCTCCTCCCCCCTCCCCCCGCCTCCTCCTGCCCTTCCTCTCCTCTGCCCGGAACCCCCACAGGAGCCTGGCCTGTGTTCTGCGTGCGGTGTGCACTGTGTCCCCGCAGAGGGGCAGGTGGTAGGAGACCTGAAGCCGAGAATCCCCCCTCAGCCGCCTGGAAGTGGCCCTGGGCCCCTGACCAGCAACTCCCGATCCAGATCCAGGAACACGGCATCATCGGTTCCAGACGTGCCGGAGCTGCCCCGACTCCATGCAGTGGGCAACAGTGCAGCCCTGTCCCCTCCCCCTGAAGCCGGACACAGCCACCCGGTCGCCCTGGCAGGGCCTACACTGCCTCCTGGCCCCTAGGTCTCCCGTCTGCACACCACACAACCTAACCCTCTTCCAGGACACCCTGAGAGAGGCCAGACAGTGGGGGGTGGGGGGGGCAAGTCCTGCAGGGCACAGGGTGGGCGGCCTGGGTCAAGGGCTGACCCGCCACCAGGGCCCCGTTTCTCGGGGCAGAGCTCGAGAGGGCTCCGAAAAGCCCTCGGGGCGCGTGACACCCGCAGCTGAAAACCTCCGGAACTCAGGTCACTCCCCCCAGCTCGGGCGAGCCTCACCCCTGAGGGGACGTGCTGTGGAGTTCCTGGACGCCACACACTCCACACCCTGACTCCCAAGAGCAACACCCACGCTCGACGGGGTCAAAGGAGCAGGCAACACGAGCGTCCCACACTTGCCTCTAGACACAGTTCATGAGTTTGGTTCTGCTTTGGGGCAGGGCTTGGGACTTGGGGCGGAAACATTCGAAAACGGTGGTGGGAAGGTGCAGAGTGGTGGGATTTGTGTTCAGTTGTGGTGAGCAACTTTATAAAAATAAAATTGAAACAATAAGCCCCCCAGAACCATCAGACCTGGGCTGGTCCCCAGCACCACCACATATGGCCCCTGACGCCTCCGGGAGGGACTTCTGAGCAGTCAGGAGGACTGAACACAGCTGAGCATGGCTCAGGAAAAGCAGAACAAAGCAACCCCACACCCTAAAGCTCCCCAAGTGCGCCCCCAAGAGCGGCTTTGCTGTGTTTGGGAGTCCTCCCTGACCCCATCCTGGTACCCCGGGCAGAGGGCAGGATGCCTAATGCTTCCAGGGTCCAGCCGCAGACCAGCACAAGGCTCTGGCCCAGGCTGAGAAGCACCCGCACTCCAGGGTCTCATGCCCTGGGGCCTTTGCACGACCTTCATCTTCCCTGAATGGCCCCACTCTGTCCCTGAGCTTTTGCAGGCCTACCCGTGCTGCTTCCAGGGCTCACGGCCACAGCCCTGCCCTTCGGGAAGAGCCCCCAGGGCCCCTCCTCTGGTCCCCCCGGCACCATGACCAGGGCACCCATGGCCTGGGCCCCTCGGTCCTCTGAGGGGCTCCAAATCAAGTGCTTCAGGAGGGCACAGGTCTATTCTGGATCCCAAAGTCCTTCCTGACCCTTTGGGGCAAATGTCCATCCCCAGAGGCCCTGGCAGTAGCAGGCCGCTGAGGAGAGGTGCCCTCCGATAACGGGTCCCCAGGTGCAGGGATGGGGCCAGAACCCAGGAGAGCCAGAGAGGGCGCGGGTGCCCGGGACCCTGCCGGCATCCCTGCACCCGAGAGCCCCTGTGGAAGGGCCGAGTCCCAGGCAGCGGAGGAAGTGGCCCAGCAGCCAGTGCCCTGGGGGCCACACAGGGCCAGGCCCCCTGAGGCCCAGCGAGGTCCTGCGAGGTCAGAGTGGGTTCGGCAGCCAGCCAGCTCTGGTGCCACCACCCGACTCAGACGCAGGCGCCTGACAAGGCCCGTCGCCTCAGAGCCGGGGGAGCTGTGGGCAGGGTAGGGTGGTGCCGCGTCTGACAGAGGGGCTTGGGCCTGCAGGACCCCCGCCTACGCCAGGACCCCCCTACGCCAGGGCCCCCGCCTACGTCAGGACCCCCTACGCCAGGGCCCACCTATGCTAGGACCCCTACTCCAGGACCCTCTACGCCAAGGCTCCCTACACCAGGGCCCCCTATCCAGGGCCCCCTACTTCAAGACCCCCCTACTCCAGGACCCCCCTACTCCAGGGCCCCTGAAGACCGGGACACTTGTGCCGACGGGTGTGGTGCTGTTGGGGGCCGTCTCCAGGGTCTCCCGAGACCCCCTCCATCTCCCCGAGGTTCTCCCCCACCCCCGCCCGGCACCAGAGCCCAGGCCAAGGGCTTGTGTACACTCAGACAAGGGCTCCATAAACAACCCAAGGGCTCCTCTCGGGCCGGCACGCGAGCCAGCGGCTGGACTCGCCTTGCTCCTCACACACTGCCTGGCCCGCCCCTCCACCTGTGGGTGGTCTCGGATGGAGGGGGTGGCCCCGAGGCGTGTGACAGCAGACACGCCCCCGCGCCCTGATGGTCTCGGGCCTGTGAGGCCCCCAGGCCAGGCCAGGGGGTGAGCAGGTTCTCTGGAGATGCAGGGGTGCCCCTCTGCCCCCGGAAGGTCCCCGCTGCCCCCTCTCCTCCGCTGTATCGGGGCCGCCCTTCCCTTCTGTCCTCCTGGTCCGGACCCCCACAGCCCAAGCCTGGGCTCCCGCTGGGGCGGTCCCGAGTACAGCGCCAGCCTCCGTGTGGGTGCCACATTGCAGTGTCACCAGGCCCATCTCCCACGCTCCTGCGGCCTCCCTGGCCGGACTCCCCTCATGCCCTGTGCTGACAGCAAAACGCCAAGGCCCTTCAGACCCCAGACACCTTTGTCCCCAGGGCTCCAGAGACCCCTGCCCCAGCGCCAACACAGCAGGGCCTACCCAAGGTCGCCCACAAACGCCAGGACCCCCGCCTATGCCAGGACCCTCGCCTA